GCCCTAGACCTGGGCCAGCAAAAATCTTATAATCCGTTCCATCCAAAGATAGAAGTTTCCCGTAATTGCCACACTTCGGCAATTCACGGGTCGGGGAAGTAATTATAGACGCGACCAATTTTGACGCAACGAAAATGAACTTTGGATTAATTTTCTCCCTCCGAATATTTAACTAATAAATCAATGCAGAGCTGCTAATCCATTGGAGTGAAATTAAACAAGTCAATTGTAATTAAGCGGACGATTCGTTTTATAAATGATTTTATACTGAAACGGGATGTTTGCTTAAGCAAACTTCTTGATTGTTGTATTTAAGCGTTCGCTAAGCACAGAGATAATTAAGACAGTCTTTTTGAAAAATATTCTTTAAAGTCTCTTGTTCAAGTAATTCAATATCAGTAACTGAAAATATTAATATATTTTTTAAATAAGGTTTCGGGCTATTTTAATTCAACAGTATTTTTCTGAACTAAACGCACCTAATAGAAACATAATAATAGTAAATAATATTTACTAATCGTTGTTAAAAATATATATTTATCGTGTTTCTTGCAAAATTTTATAAAATATTTACAGAATAAATTGAAGAAGACATTTAATATAGATAAGTAGGTACTAAAACTCCGCACTTTTCTTAATTTGAGTGTCTCTATTCCTTAAATTATTCAAGATGTCAATATTGATTGATGTATGGAATTTTGAACATATGGTATTAATTTTTTCTTTAATAAAATATATTCACTCCACACCTCATCCGTCTTAATAAAGTATGTACCTAATTTATGTTTTCGTGGACATCTGATGCATATATTTTGTTCAAGTTATTAAACAGCGCGAAGTAAAAAAAATAATAATAAATAAATATACATGAGACGGCGTAATGAAAAATGTGTCATGATATTAAAATTCCGGATTCCACCGCTCTTTGATTTATCACATCCCAGTTTTGATGGTTTGCGGACTGAATTTTAAACATGTGACAAAGGCGAGCTGCCTATACAGTTCCTTTTGTATACCGAACCGATATGCGGGCATACTGAAATTACCTGAATGGCGAAAAAGGTATTATAAAATACATATCTAAAAATTAATATGTCGCCTCAAAATTCTATCGAAAATTTAAAAATATGGTGAATGCGCCGATGCTATCGAAAGAAATTATCTTTGTTAAATCGGCAAATTCCCCTTCCGTCAAGTTTAAGGGAACAAATTTTTCTCATTTCAAGGCTCTCGGTTATTTTAAGAAATACTTGTGTTGATCACGGTGGTCTTGAAGGCGAAAAAAGTTTGTCCCCGATAACGCAAAAATCGGGTCAGAGGGTTCGTTTCCTGGACTCTTAACAATGAAAAATCCGTGAAGAGTGAAATCCCAGCTGATCGCCTACTCGAGTTTTCCACCATCGAAATTTTTCAAAATGAAGGGAGCAGAAAGGCCCATAAGGCATGTGTGTAGGTGCGTATGTGTTTGTGTGTGTATTTGTCCGTATGTGCGTGTGGATGTTTGAAACATGGAAATATATTTAGAAACTTGAGCACAACATAAACCATCATAATAATGTGGAAAAATAGAATTTCAAGGATACAAAAACAGCCCAAATTTTGAGAAATTTTTTCCATGTGTGTGTGTGTGTGTATCCGTGTGTGTGTGTGTGTGTGTGTGCATGAAAATAGCAATAAACATATACAAACCAATGTATATAAACTTGAAGCATGTGTAAACAAGTCAGTAGTCTTGCAGTCGGTGTTCCAGGAACACGCACCTAGAGTGTCCTGATTTCGAAATTCATTACTTCGTATCTGTGTGAATACCTTTCAGTACCTTTGAGAAGTACTTTTGAGAATAATCTAGTGAGCAAAAATGCCAGATAAATGTGGTCATGATCAAAATCGAGAAAAAGTTTGCGCGCCATGTGGTCGAAAAATAAACGTTCCAATTGAAAAGGTATCGTATAACTCCAAACTCAGAAAATCTGATAAAGAAGTTCCTCCAACCGGAGTTTACTTTGTTAGATCCACGATTTTCATCGAGCATCTGTACAACATGCAGGCAGATTCTAACCGAGAATGACAATGCAATGATACTGTCACTAAGAGACCATTAAAGCATACGTTTATTTTTCGACCACATGGCGCGCAAACTTTTTCTCGATTTTGATCATGACCACATTTATCCGGCATTTTTGCTCACTAGATTATTCTCAAAAGTACTTCTTGAAGGTACTGAAAGGTATTCACACAGTTACGAAGTAATAAATTTCGAAATCAGGAGACTAGGTGTGTGTTCCTGGAACACCGACTGCAAGACTACTAACTTGTTTACACATGCTTCAAGTTTATATACATTGGTTTGTATAGGTTTATTGCTATTTTCATGCACACACACACACACACACACACACACGGATACACAGACACAAACACATGGAAAAAATTCCTCAAAATTTTGGCTGTTTTTGTATCCTTGAAATTCTATTTTTCCAAATTATTGTGATGGTTTATGTTGTGTTCAAGTTTTTAAATATATTTCTATGTTTCAAACACCCACACGCACACATGGACAAATACACACATACGCACATACACACACACCTTATGGGAATTTCTGCTCCCTTCATTTTGAAAAATTTCGATGGTGGAAAACTCGAGTAGGCGATCAGCTGGGATTTCACTCTTCACGGATTTTTCATTGTTAAGAGTCCAGGAAACGAACCCTCTGACCCGATTTTTGCGTTATCGGGGGCAAACTTTTTTCGCCTTCAAGACCACCGTGTGATATTAATGTTTGTCATGCTATATGGAAGAAAATAAAAAATACAAATTTTAGCATTTCTCGTGTCTCGCAACCCGTCAGAAATAAATATGAAAATAAATCTATTGTATATAATAACCGAAATCCGTAAAGTTAATACAGATATTTGGGATACACTGCATTAGATCAAACCGTTAACCTCAGATTCTTTTGGTGAAAATAATGCGACTTTGTACAATTTTTTATTTAAGCGCTTGTTTTTCAAGATACAGGATGTCAAAATTATAATTTAAAAAAGTTTTATTAATAACTACTGTTTTTTAAAATAATCAATTGAAATTTTCCATAGTTTAATTATAATTAAAAAAATGTTGAAGCGCAATCGGAGGAAAGGAGAACTGTAATACAAATTGTTCCCCTCTAGTTTTTTGTGTATATGTATGTCGATGATTCAAATGTACTGTGTTTTGGACCAAGCATTTCTCGTACTTTTTTCAATCCTGCAAAATTTTAATTTAGGGTTTGAAAGGGGTTTAGGTACGTTAACTGTGTTGCTATTTGTTTATTTTATGGAGTGATAAATAGAGCTATTCTGTGTTTGGAAGCAAATGGAGGTCATTTTGAACATTTGAAATAAGTATTGTTTTAAATTGTTATCTTATTATCGTATTTAAAATAAAATATGTTACTTTAAAAAACATAGTAACTTGTTTTCGCAGCTGGCTATCATTTTTCAGAATAAAGCTGCGAAAAGTAGGGTGCATCTTTTTTGCTGTTTTTCTAGCAATATTTCTAATGAAACTATAGTCCCCTTAGATAGTAGAACGCAGAAAAAAATATCTTTCAGAATTGAAAAAAAAATATATAGTGTGCCATTTGAACAAAAACAGTTGACTATAGCAATTTTAACATATGTAACCATGGAGACGATCTAACAATATTATTTGATAGAGTTTGAGCGGCGATTTAAAAATATATAGGGATTGTTATAACTATTTGATAAAATAAAAGAGATACAAGGCAGCGAATATCAAACTGAATCACCCGGTATAGAATTTTCTCGGAAATCCATATGTTTAAAATATACAGTGTGTTTCACTTAAAAAATGTAATATTTGACGTGTCCCGTTTTTGCTCATCACCCTGTATGTATAAAATTAATTTTGTAATTTAGGTTTCTTGATTCTGTGTAACATTTATATAAACTTTTTTTCTACATTATGAATAACAAGGGAGTTATTTTACTTTCTCATCACCTGTACATATTTATAACAGTCGCGATCTGTGAATTTGATTGGATAGTTCTTTGTTAAAATTCCTCCAATAAAATGACATTTTTAAAGGATTTTAATATGTATGGAGTGTTTCACTAAAAGTTATGACAAAAAATGTCCACGTTCATCGTCGCCAGACAAACTGATATTTTATTCAATACTATACAATCGAAAATTACTAAATGGCTGGTTGACAACCAGCGCTAACAATGCATAACAGATAAATTTGCCCCTCTAATTATAAAATGTGTTTGAACTGGTTGACCCAGTTAATTGAAAATTTAATATTCAATCATGAATGCTCTGAATTTAACTGAATTTCATTCCTCTATTAAATCAATAAGTATCCAGAAGAATGTAATTTAAATATCCCTTGATTCGCGTTACTCTTAAAAACGAAACACTAAGAAAAAATAATTTATATGCATAGTTTTTATAATGCAAATAAGTATCTAGGAAGATTAAACTGTATATTTTATAAAAATCCCTTTTCTTATCAATCATTCGAACTGATAAGAGTAACAACGATACAACACTTATTTCTCCAGTATTATTCAAATTACATTCACTACAGGATGCTCGATGTTTTAAAATACTCTGAATGCCGCAAATTTCACGATATTGATTTTCATTCTGCCGTCAATGGAAGCCAATTAGTATTTCCTCAGTGGACGTCAAATCATACAAGGAACATATTATGTTACCTGATTTAAAACTTTTTTTTGAAACATTCATGATGAATTCCAAAATGCGTTGGATACTTTCTGAAACCAAATGATTATTTATCATCACTCCTAAAATCCATACATGAATCACAATAACTTCAAATATTTTGTTGGGTATACCCAAAATAAATAATTTTAACAAAAATCACTTTTAATTTAGAAATACTTCCTTGCTATACATTTATGTAGGTAGAAAATTGTCTTCTGTTTTATCTTAATCAAGAACTTAATTAACAAAACGATTATACTCACCATCCATTCCAAGATACGATTCCCATTGCATAAGTAATTCCACGCCGCCATCTGCTTTCCCGTTTATAAGCAATTCCTGAAGGGTCTCGAGCACCAGCCGTTGCGTTTCTTTGGCTATTTCATCCAAATGGCGGCTATAATCGGTCTGGAAATGCAATGAAAATCAAACCATTACTCTTTCTGGATACACAACCAAGAAGAATAAAAATAGAAACAATATTATATAAATAGGTAAATATAAAACAGACATTTGCAAATTATAAAATATTAAAAATGTATATCACGTATCCAAAGATGGAATAAACCACATATTCTATTTAGTTTCGGTATTTCAAGATGCTAGACCGAAATTGTGTCTACCACTTCTTCATGATTACTACCACTTCATGACTATTTGATAGATTTCAAAGAGAACACTTATATGACTTCATTAGATGAGAATCTTACGAAAATGGAGGATTGGAGTAAATAGGTAATAATGTAAATAGAAAATTATGTAAGTATTTTTTAACTCCATTTTCATTTAATCTTTACGAAGTAGTAAATATTAAGAAATAAAACCTGTTGTCTTTTTTAATATCTGTAGTAATTTTTCAATGTATCGGTAATATTCCAGTTCATTAGCTGGAAGTGATACATCATTATATTAAATATCGGTTTTATTTTTTTTATACATCAAAATATCATTTATGCTCATCTCAGTTTTTGTTAGTTAGAAAAGATGAAATTAAATTTTATTTTAACTACATATGTGTATATTCTTTAATAAAAATGAATATATTTCTAATATTGTCTTGAAAACTAATTACTATTATTAAGCAAATAAAGGAACTTGATCTATTACGATTTTTGTGAAAAAACCTCCAGTCTTCGCACTATAATAAAAAAACGACAATAAAGTAATAAATATTCCTACAGTACCTAAACAAACATCCAAAATATTTCAGTAATTTGCTTGATAAAAATATTGAACCGTCATCATCAATAATGTTTATTTATTTCACAAAATTTCCTTCGATAATTTCTTTTTGTTAATTTTCAAGATTTTCTATTTTGATAACACTGTTTCATAGAGTAAATTACAGATTATACTACTCCTTTCATCGGTATTTTAATTACAATTAATGGCTGCAACGAATTCATAACCCAATTAGACTCAGTTTTTAAAACTTACTAAATGTACTAAAAAAGAAATTAAAGGAGCCAGTAAAACACCCACCAACAATTTCGCTAAACCTTTGAGATTAAATCATTAAATTTAACGAACTACTTGCTTTTCAAATTAATTACAGTCTCGTAAATTCCAAATGAATGTATAAATTTTTTAATATTTAACTAAATGGTTTTTATCTTGCAGTCGCCTCATTCTAATTAAATAATTGTTTGTTTTGGGGGTATATCTTGGGGAATAAATCAACGTCAATCGACGTACAAGTTTCTGTCTTTGTTAACTGTGTTTCAATTTATTTCCACAGTTCTAAAAACGTTCTACTAATTTTTCAACTAAAACGTATTTACAATTTTGATTTATATCGCTACGTCAAATAACTTACCTATTCTATGGCCAACTACAAAAATTGGTCAAAAATACCAAAATCAGGTAAATCTAGACGGCCATAATTTCTTGTGTTTGTAGGAATATTACAAAATATTTTGTATGATGGAAAATGTAAATATATTATTTATTAAAAAGTAAACGATAAAATTTATATTTACCAAACTAGACAGATGTTTGCGATTATTAATTTGGTTGGATTAAATAATTTTTGATGCTTAATGCATTTTTAGAGAAGACACTTTGATTATAAAAAATGTCAAAGCTTATTTATTACAAAAAATCAAAATAATGTCAAAGGTAATTATTTCTTATTTAATTAAATAAAAGTAGAACTTAAACTTATCATTAACACTTATTTATTCCTCAATAGGATTACATATACATTGTTCTTGATGTCCGTGTTTTTGTGATGAACGGTCTTGAAATAAAAAAAAATCTANAGAGGTGATGTATTAATTTCTTTAGAAGAGTGCAGGAAAGAGTTGGTGAAATCTCATCGCTCTATACTTACTCACCATAATAAATATAAAATAAATTTGGATGGATTTGGATCTTATTGGAATGTTCAAGAAAAAAAAACGGCACCACACATAGGCGTATCCATAGAAAATTCCATGAAGATGTCGGATATACTGGAGGGAGGGAAAATTTGTATAAGCTTTTGTTCACCATAAGATTCCAGTGGCGAAAAACAACGATCAAATGAAACGTCATGACATCCGAGATTTTGGGTAATTTTTTTTTTGAGAAAAATGAAACAGTGATAAAGGACTCCCAAGGCCTGTATCAAAAGGACAACGTTTAGTTATAGTTCACGCTGAATAGAAAAATAGTTTTATTATGGAACGCGAAACTATTATTTAAGTCAAAAACTAAGTAATGATGAACTATGCAAATAAAAAAAATGGTTTTTATACAAGGTGTCCCGAAATTCATGCAACAAAATTTGGTCATAGATTCCTAAGACAAATTTAGGGGACCCGTATTTTTCCTTTTTGCCAACTGGCCCCCTCTTTCGGAGTTACAGCCCCTTGAAATCTGCCCCTAAGAAGTTTTTTTTATATCTCAATACCATGTTGTACGAGAATAACTAAATTTGGTCCACAGGGGTTTTATGACATGTGGAATCTCACAATGCTTGATTTTTTTAAATATTATTAAATAGCTAGAAAGCCATTGAATTTAGTAACTTTTTTGTCTCTTGATATTTGTTTCGTAAAACGCAATGTTTTTGAGGAAAATGGCGAATCATGATATGCATTCGATCACATTTTGACATTACGTTTTACGAAAGAAAGTAGAAAGAGACAAAAAGTTTCTAAATTGAATGGCGTTCTAGTGGACTGATAATTTTTAAGAAGTTTAAATATGCGACCAAATTTTTTTGGCTCCAAAGACAAGGGGGCCCACGAAAAATTGCCTTAAGGGGGTTCCCCGCAAAAAAACGTAGCACCATCAGATTCCACATGTCATAAAACCTCTGTGTACCAAATTTAGTGATTTTCATACAACAAGATTCTAAGATATAAAAAAAAAGACGATTCTTAGAGGCGGACTTCAGAGGGCTGTAACTCCGAAAGAGGGGGCCACTTGACAAAAATAAAAAATACGGGTCCCCTAAATTTGTCTTAAGAATCTGTGACCAAATTTTGTTGCATGTATTTCGGGATACTCTGTATTATTCTTTTACCAGAAATTTAATTTCGTTAGTGTCTATGTTAAATATTAGAAGGAATTGTACAGTAACAATACAGGTATTTAATTGAAAACAGCCCTCTAAAAAGACACCAATGGACCAATGCCAATGACCAATGTTCGTAACGCTTTAATTTAATTATTAATTTTAACATGTTATTCAGATTTTAGTAAGCGGTTTGAAACGTGCATATATAAAAATCACGCATATTTTTATCAATTTTGTCATTATAGTTTCTTCAAACACATAAGTAGGTAAGGTGAAACTTCAACAGATTTGAATTCTATTCGTAATTATTCGTAATATGTAATTAAAAAAAAAACAATATTATTGTTCAGTAAAATAGAAATAAAATTCGATAATTATAAAAGTATACTTATCAAAATAAAGTATGGAAATAGTTCACTTATTACTAATCACATATACTACAGTGAACAACATGCAACTGAGTTGCAAATTTTTGTAGGAAGGAATTCGAAATAGTATGTAACCTGCGACTAAGATCTGCCAATAAAATAATTATATTTATATAGACATAGAGCGACTTGACTCTAGCGTTGATGATACGTGAAAAAAAAACACAATTCCATCTTTTTTACTAATTGCGTGATTGCTACTATTTTAAACAATATGAGGCAAAATCTCGTAATTAGAAAGTGCTATGGTGTCATTTATTTACTACTGAGTATATACATAATTATATTTGTTAACTCAATTATTCTCCTTCTCTTCTTATATCTTTATTAAATTATTATACTCGTACGCAACATATAAAACGGTTATGACATATATATTTTACTAGTGCTCGTAATCGTAAAATCTTACAAAATTGTTCTTGTTTAACGTAAATAACTTATTCAGTTGACACAGTCGTTTTATGGACGTTTAGAAGAACAATTTAATTTAAATAATTTTAATAACGTTCATTTTGCCAAAAGGGCCGCCAACATTTTTCGTAAAAATTAATGTATTTTTAACGTTACGATAGACCGTTATTTTTCAAACCACAAAAGAACGGCTAACTTTCTAATGTAACACGAATTATTAAGGTCTCCTATCTTTGTCACTCATACTTTGGACTCTCTTCTTGATCTGTGATTAAAATTGACATGTTTCATGTTAATACATTCTGAACTATTAACAATTGAATGAAATAAAAAAAAACATTTGACTTATTGTATAGATCCGTTAGATTCATGTGAATGTATTTGTTGCACTTTAGACGCAGAAATAATAGTGGTTAGCCTATTTTTAACATCAAATACGCCTTTTTTATTAGACCTTTTCTAGGTGTAAAGTATTTCAGAGATTTTAAGTTTAAAAAACACGATTTCAAGTTCATTTTGGTAAATTTATTTTCAGATGATATTATGTGTATTTCAGATTAGTCAATTGTTAATCAAATTACAGAATGCGTAAGAATGACTTCAGAAATCTTCAGTTATGGAAGTGTCGCAGAAGTAGGTGCAAAAATTTAGATTTAATACACTATGGATAAATAAGACGATTTTTTCTTATAGACCATGGATCTTTCGTGATTTGTTTTTGACATACATAGCGACAATAATGATTTTTTAAATGCATGAATAAACATTTTCATAGACACTATATGCGTCCATCTATACAGGAACATATTATGTTACCTGATTTAAAACTTTTTTTTGAAACATTCATGATGAATTCCAAAATGCGTTGGATACTTTCTGAAACCAAATGATTATTTATCATCACTCCTAAAATCCATACATGAATCACAATAACTTCAAATATTTTGTTGGGTATACCCAAAATAAATAATTTTAACAAAAATCACTTTTAATTTAGAAATACTTCCTTGCTATACATTTATGTAGGTAGAAAATTGTCTTCTGTTTTATCTTAATCAAGAACT